ATAAAGCTATATTAATATGCTGAACTGTAAAAGGCTCAAGTCAACAACTTCAGACAATTGCCAGCTATACTGGTAATACCATACAATTATGGACTATTGGACTGTATTGGGTTATTTTGCTGAATTCAAGTAACTACACTATTTGGACTGGCATCAAGTATGAAATGACCCTTTAAAGACTTCTCTAACAGCATTGTAACACCCATCTCTGACAAAAGAAAACAAAAAGGGGGAATATAAATAAAAGACCATTTTGTAGTGAAAAAAAAATGTATATACAAGATAGTTAGGATAGATATACAGCTACTTTCTCTTAGATCAATGAGAAGAAAGGTTTATACTAATATTGTTTAGACAAGATATCATGTCTGCATCTTGTCCACTGAGTAACTACTATGAAGACAACAATATGCAAGGTATTATTATAACTGTCATACTAACCTATTTTAAAACTTTCATTGCTATTTTATCTTTTTTCTCATTAAGTGAATAAAAAATTTTAATAAAACAAAAGTTATTCTGAACACTAGGGTAATCAAACTGGACTGAAAATGAAATATGGCTAATAGGGAGTTAAATTTTCTTGTGTGTGTCATGAGGTATCACAGAAATGTCACGAGAGAGCATCAATCTTATGTTACACAATTATTGAAATGACTATAATCTAGAATAATAATGGAATTTAAGTAAAATCTCAATTTTAAATATAACTATGCAGCCACACCTACTAGAATGTGAATGACAATTTAATCTGATAAAGCAAAGAACAAGTTATATTTGGATTTTGGTGTACTGGCTTTTTATACATAGGTAATGCATTACATTTTGCTCACTCATTCAGCAACTGTTGTGTACCAACCATGGCTCAAGGACATACCAGATGCAATGACTACAAGCACAGATAACTTTCTGTGAAGGAATCCATACTTTTTTTTAAACACAGAATATATTTATTGAGAGAAAGAAAGCTCTTGTGGGAGAGAAGAACAGAACGGGAACCTGAGTGGGTTGCCCCCTAAGCTGTGTCTTCTAGGGATATTTACAAAGTAAAACCATGTGGTAAGGTGGAAAACATGGAAACTCACTTAGGTGGGCATGAGGTGGGAAAAAATGTGTTACCTGAACAAGTCCCAATATATTTAGTCTATGAAAGAAAAGCACTCTTACCTCTGTCCAATGTTCTCAGTGGAACTTCCAAAAGGCGTACAAGAATGAAACTCCCAGCCTGAAAAATACCTGGGCCGAGTTTATGTTCTCTAAAACTGAAGAATGAATTTTAGGAACAACAGAGATTAAGAGTAGAATATATTTATTGGGGGAAAGAAAACACCTATTCAAGAGAAGGAAAGAAGGGGGATCCAAGGAGGTTGCCAGGAATCCATACTTGAATATACGTTTATGTTACTAGGAAATCCAAAGGTTAAGTAAAAATATATATTTTCCAGAAGATAAACATGATTTAATGAAATGTTATCACATAACTATAGTACTTTTTAAAGAAGTGACTGAAAATATAGTAAAATACTTGTTTTTTTTAGTCAAACAATATATGACTGAAAAGAAGCTTAGACATTTATCAAATCCAGCAGTTTATAGATTTAGGCAATATATCCATCAATGTGATGAATAATCCAGGTTATTTATCAAATTCTATTCTAAATTCTTCAAGAATGATATCTTTTATCCTACTGAAGTTCATGAATTAAATTTTGACATTTTCTTACAATAATCAAAGTGTAAAACATAAAAGAAAAAAATCAAATGGCAAAAACTATATTTCTTAAACTTTTCTATAAAAATTCTTCAAGGAATGAATAGTATCTTCTCATTAAGGTAAGATGTTTCCACACGGTGACCAGTCATTTTGTAGATGTCGTCATGTTTATAGTAGGTAGTGCTCATGAACAAGCAACTGATTGGCCGTGGGTCCACCTAGAAGGATCTGTGATATAAATTTAATATTTTATCATGTCATATATTTAGAGTGGATTAAATATTGAATCCAACCAGGCATGAGTATGCTCACTGACAAGAAAATGAAACACACAGAATCTATATTTTGTAAGTTACATTTGGAATTCTTGCTAATAATCTTAACTATAACATTTTCAGATGAATAAAAATTTTCTTAATTCATGACATCAGAATAAAAAAGATATGTTATCACCTCCATAACATTTTAGCATTTGTCTGCAATGCCCACTGGAGAAAATACTAAGTGAAAGAGGTAAAACTGACACAAGACAAAGTTCCCGTAACCGACATTTGCTTTGCATTATTGCATCATCTTGCATTAAGAAAGTCGCATAGGGCGGGGAGATGGCTCAGCAGAATAAGCGCTTGCCTGGCAAGCACAACAGCCTGAGTTCAATCCCTGGTTCCCACAAAAAAAAAAAAAAAAAAAGCTTTGGCTCCACCTAAAGTAGCCCCGTCAGTGGCCCCTCCCCCAGTCCCTGGCAAGAAAGTCGCATGGTTTCCCTTTTCCAAAGTAGAATGTAATACATTGATGGGAGAATTTTGCCACTTATTGCTTATTTCAGATTGACATTTTTAATGGCAACCAGCTGATTTTTCCAAAATCCCATTTTATTGTTGACAATATAAGCATATAAATGGTAATTTTATTTATTACTTTCATAAGCTTAAGAAAATAGTGAGCTATTCCCTTAACAGATCTGTTTAAAATAACAGCATCATTTTCATTTAGTTTTCTGGCTTACTGAGTCACTCAGGCTACAGTCCTCATCTTCAGGGTTTATATATTTTTCCTTTTGATTACATTTTTATTAATAAGCAAAAGAAGATCTTTTATCTAATTCTATACACATTCTCTGGTAAATTATTAAATTATGTATGATTAAAAGCCGCTCTAAAGTTTTACAATAACTAAAAGTTGAGAATGCTTGTTACTTTCTTGTCCTTTTATATTACATGATTGCACAGAATTAAGGATTAATTGAGATAAGATTAAGTGAAGGGATTAAGTGAAACTTGCTTTAAAAAAACCCAAAACCAAATTAACAACAACAAAAAACAAATTTGGATGGCTTTGTTAGAATTACTACATTTACATAGCATTGTTATGCTTACTAGTTCTTTGACATTGTCTTTTCCCCAATGATAGTGATGAATAATACTTTAAATCTACGCGTCAGAGGGTCCACTGGAATCTAAGTCTGTTTACACCTGGCTCTTCCTCAACCTTAGTTTATTTGTAAATCCTGACACAAAAGACAAATAATTTATTTGGCCTAGGCAAAGCAGACCTCAAAGATAGAATTGATAGAATGGAGGCATTCTTTAAGCGGTTAAATTCTGAAAGGAAAAAAAGCAGGCTTTAAGTCATATTTACCTGTGGCCCCATAATATGTATTTATAATTCTTCCAAATATATAGATAATAGTAGAATGAGAACAAGAGAAATAGGAATAAGTGGTTAGCAATGTAATACTTTAATTTGTAATTATAGTATGTTTGACAAATTTGCAGGCAAATAACATGTAGGTATTACAATGAAGCTAATTTGATAAGATTCTAATGAAAACCACTCAGATTTTCCAACCTGCTCCTCAGATCAAAACAGCCAAGACTGTAGCCACCATCTTTAAACAGATCACTTTTACTTTTTGAAATCAATATTGGGATTGTGCTTGACATGTCTGTTTTATATATCTAGATAGCTATATCTATATGTACCTATATCTATCTATCTCTATCTATCTATCTATCTATCTATCTATCTATCTATCCATCTACCTTTTATTTTACTCTATTTTATTTTTTTATCAGTACCTGGAGATCGAACTTGGGACCTTGTGCTTGCTAGGTAGGCGCTTATGTCACTGAGCTATATCCCCAGCCCTGAAATCTAATTATTTACCTGATCCATTTTTAGTGACTTGGATGAGATCATCCTCATCTTCATCGCAGCTTTCATAGTTCAACTGTTGGAGGACTCTTTCTGACTGGCTTTCAGCTTGATTGACATCTTTCTGCTTATTATCAAAGCTTCGAAGGGCAACAATGCGATGATGTATTGCTGCGTAAAGATATCCTGTATCTTTAGCACCAGCCTAAGAGAGGAAAATTAAGTTGTTAGGAATATAAATCACCTACTAACACTAATCACATTTTACAGATTTTTAATTTTTCACTATTAGTAAAGAAAGAACTGTAATAAGGCTAACATGTAGAATTTAAATAACTTCTAACATTCCTGTAAGAGATAAAAACAATCTTGCATCAAATTGCATTCTAACATAATTTTGTATACACTTTTTTTTTTTTAATTTTTTTTTATTTATTTGTGTGTGTGTGTGTGTGTGTGGCCAGCTCAGCCCACCAGGGGGCGGGGCTGGCTGACATGTGGTGCTGGGGGCTTGAACTGCGGTCCCTGCGCTTTGCTGAGCTTCTTCTAAGTAGGTGCTTTAGACCACTGAGCCATCTCACCAGCCCTTTGTATACACTTTAAAATAGGAAAATAAAATTTTGTAATTTAAGGTATTTCTATTTGAACCTAAGTGTGTATGACCATTCTTCCTTCACTATTTTATACTACATAAGATTTGTAGGGTTAGAGAAAAAAGGCTTATATTTCTTTTCCATTACTTTTCTTAAACATTCTTTCAAGTCACGTAGCTTTGTAAGGAAGCAAAATTTATTAGAGCAATTTATGCTATTAAAAAAAAACACATCAGAAGTTTTTGCTTATCAGTACTTTTTAATGCTATTTTTATAGTTATTAACATAAAAATGATGTTAACAATAAGTACCATTAGTGTAACAGTGACAATTATGTTCTGTTTTTATTCAGTTCTTTCAATACTGGGGGCACATTGTTTATTCCATCATGTTCACAAGAGCAGTTAGCACAAGCATTCAATATATACTCATTTCCTTTTGCAAACAAGGAAATTGTAGATCAGAAAGTAAAATCCATTTTCTCAGTTACAGCTACCCAACAAATTGTTGGGTCTTGAAGCTTCAGCTTTTGTCATTCAGATCAGTGGGATTAATGGAATAAATTATGGTACATAACAATGGAACTGTTTCATGTACTAGAAGAATTTTTGAAGAATGAGCAACTATTTTCTGGTATGAAAAACACTCATTTGTATTAATAAGTGAAATTACATTTTTTTCACAATCATCTTAGTTGTTTGATCTCAATAGCTTTATAATGTGTAGTATTATTGTTTCTTTCATTTTTGCACATGAGTAAATCAATTTAAGGAAGCAAAGAAACTTGCCTGAAGGCCATATAATACATACAGTATGGTATAAATATATGTATACATATTTATATTTTTTCAGAATTTGGAATATTTACATATACATAATTTGATATCTTAGGGATGAGACTCAAGTCACAACATGAAATTTACTTGTTTTGATTTTTTTTTTGTACCAGGAATCAAGCTCACAGCCTTGCACTTGGCAGGCAGGCGCTGTGCCACTAAGCTATCTCCCTGGACCTGCATTTGTTTGGTATATACCTTACACACACTGTCTGAAAGTTAACTTTATACAATAGTTTTAGTGTACCTTTGTTTGGACTGAGACCTGTCACATAAGATCAGGTAGAGGATTTTCCCCTTACAACGGCATAATTGGGCTTTTAGACTCAATGTTTGGAGTATTTTGTATTTCAAATTTTTGAATTGAGAATGCTCAGTCTACATAGTATTCAACTAAAGGGTTAATAACCATATCTGAATATGCAATATTGAGCAATTTTCCTTTCACTCAAGTTGCTTATCTCTAGTAAAGATCCTACAGTTGAAAAAGTCACCATGGGTTTGGTGGTGAGCCTGGAAGTTCAACCACAGCTAACAGTGTCAGTCTCAGTCGCCAGCACACTGCCTTAGCCACTTAAAACCAGGAGATTTGGCCTGGCCAAGTATCAAGTATTCTCTCTGTAAATGGTAAACAAGGTTTAAGCGTCATCTCTTCCCAACATCTTAAAACATCATGTCACATGCCCCTGACAGAACACTTATGTATAGTTATTAAATCATTTGGTTTTTAACACTGGGCACACGCCAACTTTTTTCTCCATTTTACCGTGGAGCTGATTTACTTGTGCTGTCATTCTGTCTAAATTATCTGGATAGTTTTTTCTAGTCCTCTGGGTCTCAGCCTATGGGAGAAACCTAGCTTTTGAAGGGGGACGGAAGAGGGGCTTTGTTCTTGGCAGCTATCTTGTGCCTGGATCTTGTATTTGAGGTCAAGTATTTATGCTGCCTGGATGAGCTAAATTGTGCTTCCTTCCTGTTACCTTGGAGATTTACTCATGTTTCGAATTGGAATTCGCTTCTGGACTTGTAACTTGCTACTCCTGTGTTTTTCCATTTTCTCACTAGATTCTTTCCAGTGATCCCAAAGCTTTCTCTATATCAACTTGTAGTATAAGCCATTAGGCTTGCAAATCTGCAGACCTCCTGGAGTCTTCCTGACAATCTAGTCACTTCAGTAATACAGCATAGTAAGACTGTTGACATACTTAAAGTCATAATCAACAAATGTCTTGGACTGGGTACCGGTTAATTACATCATGGGGTAATTTCTCAAGTCCATACACAATTTAGATCTTACATTAAACAATAAATAATCATAATACATGAATAGTTTCCTTGCCAACAGTACAGATCATTATGAAAACTTTTTTTTTTTAATGAAGTGGTATAGATCTACTAATATACTGTGTTAGTAAGATAATCCACCCTGAAATGTATCATTTACCTGAATTAAAAATATTTTGATGCCATAGTCTTCGAAATCAGTAGCTGTTATTTGTAAATTTTTGTGGTTTGCTCTTTGAATCTTCATCTGAGCCCACAGTTTGCTGTTGAGGATCAGCCTTAAACTGCCTTGATTGCGCATAACTGTAGCAGAAGATTGAATATGTCAGATTATAGCTCTTGATTCCTGAGCCTTCCAGGAAACTCACCATTTTTGAAAACAAAGTAAATCTTGCAGTTTGTCAGACTATGCTTTAACTGTTAAATTATAATTTGACTAGACTACATCTTGGTGTAAAAATTATATTTGGCGTTCATTATGTTGAGAGCTATTGATTAGCTTAAGTGTTATAATTATATTATTAACTAATATTTTTAAATGGCAAAATTTTAGAACTCCTTTTAAACTGACTAATCTGAAGAATATTTACCCAAGAATTGTTTAAAATGAAAAAGAAAAAACTGAAACAAAACCTTAACTGTCAAAAATGGAATTAAATTATGGTACAGTCACCCAAAAGAATATTCTGAACCCATAAAGAAACTGGAGAAAGACATTGATGTGGAAAGATGATAATAACATACTGTGTAAAAGAAAATATAGGATTCCAAACAAAGTACCACTATGGATCACAACATTTTGCAATCTGTGTACATATGTGTATACAGAAAGCAATATCTACAAGAAGATACCTTGTTAACAGATTATCTCAGGAAGACAGGCTTCAAGTGATCTTATTTTATTTTTTGTTTTGATCTATACTTTCTGTTTTCTACTACCGTAGAAAATATGTGTTATCTGCATAAGAAAAAGTTGGTTCTTAGTTGTTGTTGATGATGATGATGATGATGATGATGATGATGATTTTGGTAGGCTCTGGAATTAAACCAGAGCAAAGAACAGCTAGTACTAACTTGAGAATATTGCTTACATTATTTGGAAACCTACTGGTCAATTCCAAAACTGAAAACACTACTCCAATTCTTTTATTGTTGTTGTTGTTGTTCCTTTTCTTTTAATCTACATTCTATTCCTTACCTGTTTCTTGAGCTTGGTATTTGAAACCCAACAAATCACCACGTAGTTGGGTCCAGATCCTACATCTTATATAATCTAAAAATTTAGCCTCTCAGAAATGCCTGCTAAAGCATTCATATACCAGTTCTGCCTATGTTCACTTTCAGTGTGAGATTCTGAATGGCCCAGGGTGTCCTTTTGGATGCTAAACCTCTTGGATCCTTCAGCAACTCCAGCTTATCAACTCTGCCTACAGTGCTCAACAGCCCCACATCTGTTTCTGTGGATACTGGGCCCACACCATGTGGGAAAGGCCAAAGATAAATTATGAGATGGGTATTTTTTGGAAAAACTTACTTTGCAAGATGCTTTGCAATATATTTCTTTGACTGATATTGAGGTTATTTTGGGTTTTGACACAGGTTTTTTACATAGTATCTTATTGAATTCTCACAATTGTTCAAGAACTTGCAAACTACAGTTATCCCATTTTAATTTGGTAGTACAACTAGGGCAGAGGGTGATTAGGTCCCTTTTTCAACGTCACTAGTTAGTGGTGGAACCGGAACTGGGACCTATTCAGTCTGACAGGAGAGTCACCCTGAAATGAGAAACCTCTAAAGTACTTTGAAAATAATATTGTTTTCAGCAGTCTGATCTATTGATGTATTTTATAACGTGTCCGAAAGCAATATGTACCTATATTAGCAATTTTACCCTGAGAAATTATGGCTTGCTTTACAAAACGGTTCCTTACTTAATCTTGACTGCAATGTCCCACAGTCACTGCTTGCTGTGTCATTCAGTCTCAGAGTTCCTCTGCCCCTTTCAGTCCAGGATTGTGTTGCCTTGTTGAGTATAAAAAGCTTGCAGTTGATCTAAATGACAATTTTTAAAAGTGTCAAATGTACAGAAAGTTTTTTTCAAAGTAAATTATTTCCTATGCTATACTTTGAACTTTTACCATAATATCTTCATTAATTATTTGTAAATCAGCTTTCGAAATATATTTAACTGTATGCAACTTTTGAGTAAAAAATAAAAAGACATGCAAAGTAAAGAATATCCTCTACCCTTCTTCCTCATCTGCCAAATTCCACCCCATAACAGGCAACCTCTATTATATCTTATTTATCCTTCCCATTTATATTCTTCTTTATAAATGGTAGAATAGTATACATACTTCCTTTATCACTTACTGTGTTTTTGTATACACCAAATTTTACATTAAACTTAGTCTTGTTTATGCCACATAATTTTATTTGAAAGTAAGGGAATCATGAAGATATTTGCATGCTTAAAATTTACAGATAGAATGAAAACTTGGGAAACTATGATGTGATACCAGGTCTCCTCTTATAATTTAATAATTGACCGTGGTTCTCAACTACTCCTGTGTACAAGAATAACACAGACAGCCAGTTAAAAGCCCTGGCATTCCTGGGCTTCATACCTAGCAATTAATTCAATAAGGCTTGAATTTATCTAATCCAAGGATTATGCTTTGAGACACCTCTACTTAGAGTAAAAACATCCTTAGATCATGGAGGATGTGAGTGGAAGAGTTTGAGAGAAAAGCAGATGGAGAAAGATAAAGAAAATCCCTGACTTGTTGAAAAATTATGTTATGATACACTGATTCCACTCAGCACTCAAATATGATACTAAAGTACATCTATGAAACGTGATTTATACTAAATTCTAAACATTTTAAAAGGAATAGAAATTTTATCTTAAACTGAAAACAAGTCATGTTATAAATATTAAAAAACCTCCAGTGTAAGTAGAAGTTCATCAATCATGTGATAATAGCACTAATTATAAAAGCAATCGTGGAAAGTATAAAGTATACATCTGAAATTATTTTAAGACAGGATGCTTGGAATGTTTGTAAACCCAACAACCCACTTTCCCGAAAATTGTGCATGCAAATGTAAGAAGATAATAGCTTAATGGTGTAAGTACTGTAAGCCTCCAACATTTTTATTTGAGCACTTAGTCTTCCTGAAAATTATTTGTCAGCATTTTTAAAGCTGTCCCTTCTGATGGTTACTTTATTCTATATGTGTAAGTGCTACCAGAAAGAGCAATACGCAACCTACAGACCTTTAACACATTGTGTTCTTCTTCCTCTCCTGTTACAACATCAATTTTCTCCAGCAAGCATTTTCGTGATGGTTGGGATGCGAAGGCAGCAGCTGATTCAATCAGAGATCCACTTTTAATAGAGGCTGTTCCTAAAAGAAGTTGGGGGGTCACATAGAAGGCCTCATTTTTCTGCTGTAAAAGTTCCTTGTTGCCTGTCTCCTTATTTTATATTTAAAAAAATCAAAATGCTTGAGTTTGGGTAAAATCTGCTTATTGACTCCACATACCATTAAATTAAAATGTTAGTACAACTTGTAATATCAGGTTGCCATATGTGTATGTTTTAACCTTTACCAAAATTGTTTAAATACTAAATTATTTTGATTTTTACTTTATAGTTATAGATATTGACAAAGTACTTATATCGAATGCTTTATAAATAAAAAATTCTTACTTGAATTTGTAGAGTTGATAGGAAATTTCAGAATAGATTTAAATGTTTTATCCTTGGCATCTGAATCATTTTCTAGTTGAGGCTGGGCTGCTTTTTGAGTGCCCTAGGTAGGCAACAGACGCATTATTTAATTTTATCCATGTACACTTGCAGTAAGCCAAAAGATAATTTTCTTGTTCTATTTCAACAGAGCACACAAACCCAGCTGCTGTGTTTTTGTTTCCAGCTTCCTGTATGCTGAACAGGGAACTCTACCCCTCTTGTTGGAGGACTTTGGTTCTCATTGTTAAACAAAACAAAACACTATAATCTAGTTACCACTGGCCTATTTTGGATGGGCGGCAGCCCAGGAATAATGGCAAAAGTACTGGTGTCTCAGAGGAAGCTCGTGGCCATTCCATGCTTCTACTAGCCGGGAGTAATGCCTAGGAAATGCAGCCCTCATATTAGTTTCAAGTTATTTCAGCATTTCCCCAAATTCAATCCTGCTATCCACTTCATGGAAGAAAAAAAAATTATATGAAAACTCCACTAAATATGTCAGAGGATACCTGTGTAGCAAGAATTCTAACTTTTCCGCCAAGGCAATTTTTTTTTTTTTGCCAACAATTACATTTGAAGCTGCATTCTTAGGAATATATGCATCTAGTATGATCAAAGCTTAAATAAAAAATAAAACAACTGCCATGTTATATACAAACATGGATAGGCCCCTACAGAAGAGGGGAAAATGGCATGATGATACTTTTATATTTTGGCTTATATCTTTTCCTTTATGAATTCAAGAGTCTTTTGCATTTTTTCAGACATCAGGTTATCTGTTTAGAATTGGTAGAGATCAATATAATTATTTTCATTTTAAGAAAATACGTTTTTTTAAAAAGAAAAATAATAGAAACCCTGGATCTGAAACTCACTCTAAAAGCACATGGTCAGCCAGTAATCAAAAGTACATCTTGGCACCTACATTTCAAGGCCATTGGTTTGCAAGATTGTAGAGCAAAGCTACAAACTATCTCCATAGTTCATGTCATCTATTACTATATTGCTAAGTGAAGGGATTAGGAAATTTAGGCCCTCTTATTAATCAAATTTAAAATCCTCATTGGAAATGTGTTCAAGTTCCCTCAACCCAAACCTCTATAATCCTGACTGAAGCTCATGTCCCCTCTCACTGTGTAGCGTCCCCTTGACCTTTATGTGATCACTTACCCAGATGGCTTTCAAACACGACTATACATTAGAATCACTTGATAACAGGCTCTACCTACAGAGATTCTGACATAACTGCTTTAGGGTGAAGCACAGGCATAAAAATTCTTTAAAGGTGCACCAGATGGTTTTAACATGCAGCCTAACAAGAGACCAGTGCTTTCTGTGTTATAGGAACTTAATACATGTTTGATGAGTTCAAGTGTTCCATGAGGGCTGGAAGGCATCTTAGTTATGTCTGACAATTTTACAGAAGCTATGGCTAGTGTGAAATTTAAAGAACATAGAACAAATGTGTCTAAATATATTGCATGGAAAGTAACCCAAGAGCTGCCAACATTCTGATTTGGGTCCAAAGATGAGAGTCAATAGCTCTAGGATTGGTGGAGCTAACTTTCTTGGGAATGGCAGGAAGGTACGTCTGAAGCTAAAGAGCTACAGTACTACTTAATGGAACTGAGTGATAGCCTGAAGCACGTGTAGAATAACCAGAGTCTTAAAAATGATTTATAAGGCCGGCTAGATAGCTCAGCAGATTAAAGTGCCTGCTTAGCCAGATGCAGGGTCTGGGGTTCCATCCCTGACATGCTGTGTCAGCCCCACCCCCAGAGCACACTGAGACAGTGATTGAGACTGGCCATGGTGGCACACACCTGTAATCCCAGATCTTGCGAGGCTGAGAATAGGAGGATCACTATGAGTCTGATCTGTGTAGTGAGACCCTATAGACCCTGTACCAAATACATTAAAAAATGATTCATGAAAGCATTAATAATTTTGGAATTACCTGACACTGTGAGTTGGCCCTTCTATTAACCTAGACCTTTACATGTGCTTAAAAACTATCTTTGCAGCTTTCTTAGGATTCCTCATGTAACTTGTAACAGAAAGACAAGCAACAATCTGGGGCATCTTTTAACCATTATCCTGGCCTGGGAAAAAGCTGAAAGAATCTCAGAGCTGTGGGGCACAGATAAAATCAGAGTCACAGCTTTGACTTGCTGTGAAGTTCCCCTTTGACTATGCTGTCTTAGAAATCAGAGCTCTATAGAAGGAAGAGCAGCCACTGCCTCCTGGAGGGAAATGCCCGGTATTAATTAAGGAGGATAGGAATAGTAGCAATTCTCACTGGGTAAATGTATTTCCCTAGGCAAACAAAGCACTGTGATTTTTCCTCTTAAATTTCCAAAAGAAGTTATACTAATGCTTTTCGATGTAAGAGCTTAAAGGGTGGAGTCGTAATTAATTAGAATACACTGGTAAATGGTGTTGAATACATCTTATTATAAAATGTTATTTAAAACTATATTAAAATGTCACTACAAGTTAAGCTTATTTAACTACTGCAGATAATTCTGGGATTTCCTCAGGTACTTCTGCTTTAACATGACTCAAAGAACTATTTAATATCTCACATCAGTAATAATGATATAATTATGCAGTACTTTTCCTGTCTGGGTTTCTCTTATTCTAACTATGACATGCTCCCAGGAGAACCTTTCTAGTTAAAGACAAAGAGTATGCCTTTGAATCCAGTATGCTACGGTTCAACACTGATTTTAATTAAATTTGCTTTCAGAAATTTGGAGTGACAACCCTATCATAATGAAAATATTTACCGAAATCTTACCAAAACTCTTTCTACCATGTTTTCTCCAAAAACAAAGTTGGAGCTGCAGCTTTTACTACCATATTTATCTTCATTTGGTGAACATCTGAGAAAAATAAAGAAGCAATTTGCTCTTTTAGATAAATCTGTTTAAGCCTTAGCAATCAAAAATAATGAGATGATTTAATAAACTTGTATAAAGAATAAACATCTACTGCCTTTTTTTGGTCCGACATTAAAGAGAAATGAAGGAGAAAAAAATGAGGTAGGTATGCCACAAGGTGATAGTCAAAACATTTGCCAACTGATTCAGAATTGGTGTTTACTTTGCGAACCATTTTGGGCCTTTGTCTGTACCGACTGGGTGACTGGCTGTGGGAGCTGTGCCACTCTTGCCCTTCTGTTCTTCCAGCACAGTCTCTCAGTTGGTGGCCATTCTTTTTTTAAATTTTATTTTATTGAGAAACAAATAGCAATGAGACCGTTTCAAAACTGATTAATAGGACAGTTTCAATAATTAATATATTGTACATTGTTATCTTCTTAGTGGTTATCCATAGTACAAGATGCAGACAGAATATCTTGTCCAAACTATTAGTACAAATCTTTCTTCTTATTGAATTAAGTGAAAGTAGCTGTATATCTATCCTAACTATTCTATGTATACAGATACAAAATGGTCCTTCCTTTGTATCCCCTTTTTTTTTGTTTAGTCCTGTCAGAAATGGGTATTCCATTGGCATCTAAATACTATAGGTGCGTGAATTCAGCAAAACAATCCAACACAGTCCAGCAGTCCACAACAGTAGTGGGTTATCTGCAGAAGTTGTTGACTTGAGCCTTTCATAGCTCAGCATATTAATATGGCTTTACTTTATATACCTAGTTTTTATACTTTTCTGCTGGATGGTTAAGACCAAGGTAAAGCAAGACCTATGTAACAAAAAATGTAACTTTTGTATCTGATAAGGTCAGTCAAGTACCCTCTGGAATTATCCTGTAACCCTGTATTGCAATTTGCAGATCCTTTGTCAGTGTCAGCCATGTGTATAAGTCATGGCCATTGCTTGACCAATTTGCTGTCTGTGAAAGCCTGAGAGAATGTCTTCTCTCCAGGGGACTCTCCTTAGGCACACTCTACGTCATCGATCATGTTGCTCTGTGGCCCCATAAGCTCCTTGATCAGAAAATTTGGGACACATCTGAGTTACCTGATATTCCAGTATAGGTTCTCCTATGTCATGAGTCTTCACTGACCTTGAAAGGCTATGGTCAAAATGTTGGCTGTCCTTGCAACCCTTCTATTTCTCTAATTTTTGATCTGCAAACTTAGGTTTTTAACCCTCCAGAGGAGAAGTTTATTATTACCCTACAACTTATGCAGTTGGGTTTAACTTCACTATCTGTCTGAATATCAAACATCTTAGGCATAACAGGGAGCGGGTATTTTCCATCAAGTATTGATATGTTAAACATTAGGTGGTAGCCATTCCTCTGTGTCCTGAATGGCCAAGGATGACTTTAGCAATCAGGGATCATCAGGACAAAAGGAAAGCTGATCTGTCTCATCAGTTATACATGGATGTGCACTAATTTAATTTTTTTTACTTCAAGAAACTTTTTTAAAATGATGTTTATATGATAAGGACTTCAAAAGCATGCAGTTCTCTCTTCATAGAGCTTAGGGTTCTCCATTGCATCTCCCGTGTGCACAGTGAGCCAGCACAGCTGAAGGAGCCAACTCAAGAAACTCGGTGTATGTCTACAGCTATTTTAATGTTCTCTCTGATCAAGCAGTCCTTTGATATCACCAGAAATACTAAGAAATATTAACTTCTTTTTGTCATACTGGAGATCAAACCCAGGACCTTGTTACTCACCTTTTTAATTTTTATTCTGAGACAAAGTCTGGCTAAGTTGCCTAGGCAGGACTTGAATTTTTGATCCTCTTGCTCAGCCTCCCAAGTTTGAGAATTACAGGCAGCACCACCACATTCAGCTTAACTTTTACAGAGTTACATCACTTTCCTGTGTGATCATGCAGCTTATGTTAATAAATAATGGATAAAACATAATATAAAAGAGCTAGGAAGATAGCTCGGCAGTCTAAACATTTGCCTGCAAGTGCAAGGACCTGGGTTCAATCCCTGGTACCACATGCCATGCTGGGCATGCTGTGCTAGCCCCGAAACCTGGTGTGGTGGTATATACCTATAATCCCAGAGCTGGGCAGGCTGACACAGGAGGATCACTATGAGTCCTAGCTGTGTAGTGAGACCCTGTACCAAATAGATAGATGGATAGATAGATAGATAGATAGATAGACGATTAAAATTAAAAGAGAGAAAAAAGAAAGAGGAGGAAACACTAATCTAATCACCAGGTCTTTAATGCCTAACTAAAGCTGCATCATCCCTTTGAAACATCCTAACCTAAGCCAATGAGACAATGAAGACACCCAATACTAATATGATATTTGAAACATTACAGATATTTTGAAAAGCATTTTAAATTTGTATGCTTATAGCCTATGTTTATAGCAGCACAATTTGTGATAGCTAAATCTTGGAAGCAACCAAAATGCCCATCACCTGAGGAATGGATGAAAAAGATGTGGTGGTTTTATACGATGGTGTACTACTCAGCTATAAAGAAAAATAAACACGAAGCCTTCATGTATAAGTGGATGCAACTTGAAGACATAAGTGAAATAAACCAGACCCACATGTGTAAATATTGTACTGTCTCCCTAATGTAAGAACTCAAAAGAAGAAATAAAAATTAAAACACAGTTAAATGGAAAGAGAGAACTTAAGGATTAAACAACGTAAGGAGAGAAAGGAAGAAATTAGGAAATATGGCCAGGGCAAAAAAAAACATACATTTATATAAACAAGATGGTAAAGGGAATGGTCCTAAGAACTTCCATCAGGTTTTTGAAAATGAAAGTTAACGGGTAGAATTCTCACTATGACTAACTCTATATGTTGATATCTGTGGACTAAGTAACTATATTGCAGACAGCAATGTGTAATGCTAAAACCATGCTTAAAAAATACTTGTCATTTTGGTCTTCTAAATGCATACTGCTCCTAATGTCATATCAATTATTGCTATACTCTCTTTAAAGTAAATGTATGTTTTAAAAAGGTAATATAAGTAAACAAGGGACAAGAAAACAAAAATGTAGCAGGATTGTACTGCTACAATGTTAAATGTGGTTTGATTTCTAAATATCTGTGTAAAAATGTATAATTGTTTTTTAGCATTCTGTAGGGATTTAAATTTTAGAACATCCCTGGTTGTTGGAAAATAGCAGTTCCATTTTATGTCTAAGGTATATGATATTCAGACAGATAGTGGTGTTAAGTTTAACTGCCTCTGTTATAGGATAGTAATATCAGTAAGTGTCTCTTCTGGATGTTTAACAACTAAAGTTTGCAGACCAAAAATTAGACAGATAGATTGGCTAAAAAGATAGCCAATATTTTGGCCCTAGCCCTTCAAAGTCAGTGAGGACTCAGGACATAAGAGAACCTCTGCTGTGACATCCTGTAACTAAGTGCTGTCCCAAATTTTCTGATCAAGGAGATTATGAGGCCACAGAGGAAATGATCGATGATGCATAGTGTGCCTAAGGAGAGTCAGCTAGAGAGAATAAATTCTCTCAGGCTTTCACGAGAGCAAATTGGTTGAGCAATGGCTGTGACACATTCAGATGGCTGGCACTGACAAAAGATCCACAAGGTGCTGTACATGGTTTCGGGGTAAATCCTGAAGGGATTTGACTGACCTTGTCAGATAGCAAAAGTAACATTTTGAGTTATATGGGTCTTGCTTTATCTAGGTCTTAACCATCCAGCAGAAAAGTGTAACCACAAGATGCAAAAAGTAAAGCTATATTAATATGCTGAGCTATAAAAGGCTGAAGTCAACAACTTCGGACAATTGCCAGTTGTGCTGATAACTCACTACTATTATGGACTTGGACTGTATTAGGTTATTTTGCTGAACTCAAGTAGCTACAATATTTGGACTGGAATCAATTATGAAAAGACTCTTTAAAGATATCTCTAAATATAGCTTTTCTAACAGCAATGGAACACCCATGTTTGACAAAACAAAAAAAAGGGATATAAATAAAGGACCATTTTTTAATGAAAAAAATATATATGTGTATACAAGATAGATAGAATAGATATACAGCTACTTTCTTTAGCTCAATGAGAAGAAAGGTTTGTACTAATAGTGTTTAGACAAGATTTCATGTCTACATATTGTCCTCTGAGTAACTACTATGAAGACAACAATATGCAACATATTAATTATTGTAACTGTCCTAGTAACCTGTTCTGGAAACTCTTTTATTGCTATTTTATCTTTTTTCTCATTAAAATGAATAAAATTATTTAAATTTTGTATCTTTATAAAACATCTTTTTTTGATCCCCAGTAATAAATGAATGAATGAATGAATGAATGAATGAATGAATAATTTTTTCAAGCCTGGCATGATAATACAAGCTTGTCATCCCAAAATTCAGGAGTCTGAAGGAGGAGGGGAGTAGCCACCAGTCAGGGCTACATTAACAGCTCAATAGCCCATGTACAGCCTGAGTAACATAGCAAGATGCTGTTTCCAACCCTTCTGGGTATCTACCCAAAAAAGTTAGGGACATCCTACATGTATAACCATGTTTATAGCAGCACAATTCATAACAGCTAAATCTTAGGAATGACTTACATGCCCACCAACAAGTAAACAGATAAAAATTATGGTAGATACACACACTGGATTACTACACTGTTGTAAAGAAAAATGAACTTAAGTCATTTGTTGGGAAATGGATGCAACTCATGACCACAATGCTAAATAAAGCAAATCAAAAGCAGAAGGTTAAAACTGCATGCCTCTTTCTTATATGAGACACCCAAAGTATCAATGAGTTAAAGAGCAAAATAAAAAATAGATGATAGAAAACAGGAGATAGACTTTGTAGGGATGGGCAGGGGATCTGGGAATGGGAGGAGGCAGAAGAGCTGGGAGGGAAGGGGAAGTAAAAGTGATTAAGATGTGATGCACATGTGTAACGATTCCCCAAGATAAGCATAATTATCACGTATTGCACATATATCCTAATAAAAAAGAAAGTCCTCTTAAACGGAATTCTTCCAAATTTACATAATGTCAGAAAATTATTTTCCAAGAATGCTTATAATAAAATAAAGAAAAAACACTCTTTTTTTCATTTAGGTTGAGCATCCTTAATCCAAAACTCTGAAATACAAAATTTGAAGGTTTTTGAGCTTTGACATAATATCACAAGTGGAAAATTCCTAGCCTCATGTGATGGGTCACCATCAAAATGAATAAAGTTAATAAAAATATTCCATAAAATTGCCTTCGGGTTAGATGACTAAGGTATATATGAATATAAATAAATTTTTGAAGGTTTATTTTATTATGTAATTCAAATGTTTAAGAGTTTTTTTAAAAATCCAAAATCTGAAACAATTCTCTTCCCAAATATTTGCTTAAGGGACTCTATACTAACTTACCCTACTAATGTTGCACCTAAAAAATGTTGGCCTGAAATTCTGGAAGTTGGTGAAGTTTCACTTGATAGATTGGAGTTCCCCTCAGAAATCTGAAAGAAAAGAAAGACACCAAAAATTCATTAGGATTACCTTACTAGAGGAACATCAGACAAAGAAATAATAGTTATGTCGAAAGCTTTCTATGTTCAAGTACTGCCCTGATCTTTTTATGTAAATCAACTCCTTACAATGCCAGTTTACTCCTTACAACACCATACACTTTATATTTCTATTATCCACATTTTATAGATGAATGAACTGACGTTAAAAGCTTAAATAACTTGCTTAAATCACACACTACAGAATGCAGCTGAACTCCAACACAGATCTGTCTCACGCTGGACAGTAGACTTTGCTATAACATTCAGAAATCTTGTTGCCTTTTGTACTTTCACCTTTTTAGTCAAATGAAGTTAATTCTTGTTTCTAATTTAGTTCTTCTATTTAATCCTAATGACCTACCATGACAGCCACCTAATTTGAGAGGAAGCTCCTCTTTTCATAGTGAGAGTTGTTACTAGTCTCTTAACAAATGAGTTACTCTGTCTTATGAGCATATACTTTGCGCATTACCTGTACTAATACATGCATGTACAAGTAAGGAATTCTAAATTCTCTTTCTATATAAGGAGACCTATGTTTGGTTTAACATTTATATTATTTTGTGGATAAGTCTTTGTCACCCTCTCAGGGATTTGCAAAGATGTTTTGGAGGTTCGTGTTTTCAAAGGCAGGTGATGTCTGTTTCACTTAAATTTTTCTATCAAACAATAAAAATAAATTTTTGCATTTTATCTTTTTTAACAGGAATTTAAACATCGATGAATATGTATCAGGAGAACATATGTGTGGTTAGCAAAGATCAAAGTACATATTCATGACCCACTCAACTTATTTCTCAGCTAAGATGGTTTATTTATATTTTTGTTGCTTAAAATGTTTCTTTAGGTATATATTATTTGATGCACCCATAACATGAGATCACTGCTTAATAACAGGATGAGTAATAATGATGTTCATTTATATTAATAAGAAATACAAAAATAATTATTCTATAAAATTTAGCTGGGGTACTTTTAACTAGTGGCAAAATACATTCATTTGGTTAAAACTCTTGCACTAGATTTTATACATAGTGTCCATAGTAGTGTCCATAGATTCTCAAATAATTTTCATAATACTGAAAATTCAATAATAGCCATATTCATTAGGATTTTTCAGTACTTAAAAATAATTTGTACCTATAAGGACTTATAAATTACTCAAGAGGAACTGCTTGTAAACAAATGTCAGTTAAGCAAAACTGTAAGAAACATGTTAATAAATTTTTTACAATATACAATTAAAGATTTATGCAAATCATGACAAAAATATTTACCTAATTTTGATATCAAACATATAATCAAAATTTCACTACCATTCCAGATCAAATGCAGTATAACATTTTTATGTTGGCCAACTTATCATACTTTTTCTTACATAATTTAAAGTAAGTTAACATACTTTTTCCTAAATAGATACAAGTCATAACTTATATAGCATGGTGATAATTTTTATTTTTATTCATTTTTTTGATAATTTTTAAATTATATTTCAATGCAAAATTTTATTACTACATTGATCAAAATTAAAAATATATTCTACTTACAAGCTACTTATTATATAAGTAGTTCAATAATTGTTTAAAGATTTTTAAGAATTGTAATGAGTCTCATTAAATTATATCTTACAAAGGAAAAGGTTTGGAAATACAAAAATGTTGGCAAATACTGACCAAATTTAACACCTTCATTTTACTGAGAAAAAGAGAATGTGATGTGCTTTGGATCAATGTAGGTAGTTACAGAGGCTGAATTAAGTTTCATTCTGATTTTTTAAAATTGAATCAAAGGGACTATGTTTTTCACTTATGTTCTTTTATTAGTTTATTTTAAAGAGGAAAGAAACAAAAACAAGTAACAAGAACAAGGACAAAAACAAAGCACCCTAAGGCAATAAAAGTGGTACAGAATTTCAAAGCAAGAACAAGAAATTAGCAATGGTTATTATATTACACATTTTTATCATCAAATTTGTTGCTCAGACTGCCTGATGTATGCATGTAAGACTGATCAAATAGTTAAAACATTACTCTTCCTTTCCATAAATGTAGAATCTTTATTCTCTTGTTCTTTCTATTTTTAAAAGTTATTTTAAAGAGGGTATAAAAATAGATAAGATATTATAGAAATGATACAATTTCTTTAAAAAAAGAAGAAAACAAAAACAAGATGAAAGGCATTTCAAGGTGGTTGTTTTACATTATGTTGCCAATGTAGCTGCTCACATTACAGATATTAGTATGCAAAATAGGTCAAGCTAGTAATTTTAAGTATTAATTACTACGTTCAAAAAACTGCTAGAGGACCAAGGGGATAGCTCAGGAGTATACATGCCTGCCTAGGAAGCACAAGGTCCAGAGTTTGATCCCTGGTACAAAAAACCCAAAACCAAAACCAAAAACCAAAAACCAAAAACAAACAAAGAAACCTGGTAAAAATTAGTAGTAGAATAGGAAAAATGAACAAATGAAACCAGACGATCAACACTCAGTAGTTTGGTTGGAAACAAATGGCTGATGGAATAACCCCTCAAATTCTGAGCAGAGTCCCTATGGTGCCCCACTCCTCCTAAGTGCCTGCTTCTGCCGGAAGGCACAGCTAGAGCTATAGCAATAAATGACCCCAGCGCTCGTATCTGCAATACCTGCACAAGATGAGTATCTGCTTAGAAAGGTTTAGAGTGAATGATCAGACACTTCAGCAGTTAAGGGAGAAAATTCTTTCTGGGGCAGGTAGGTGTACCGGGTATCAAACTTAGGACCTCATGTTTGCCAGGCAGGAGCTATATATATCCCCAGCAGTTGATGGAATTCTTATCTGCCTCTGTTTTTCTGTTACTGGGGGTTGAACCTAGGGCACTAGCTACATCTCCAGTGCATTAGTTGAGAGACGATCTCATTAAATCATTACTCTGTTCATCCTCTCGTCATCCTCCTGCTTCAGCTTCCCAGAGTGCAACTGTAATTTAAGAGAAATAATTTAATAAAATTAACAAGGGCTTTTTGCTGCCTAGCCTGAGTGTTTATTAAGCCTGACAGTTGCTTAAATCTCAGGTAAGCCCCTACTATTGGAAGTGGGAGGTCCAAAAACAATCTTCTATGGAAAAAGATGAGGGGGTGGGGCCAGTCATACCATAGGGGTTTTTCTTACCTTATGTTTTGTATTTTCGTTAATTTTGCAGGATTCTAATTCACTGTGCTGAAATATTTTTCTTACATTTTCACAGCTTTGAGCTTGAGGGGGCTGCAAAATAGCAGGTCTTAGAACATATTCAGAGTGTTTCACAGGACCTTAAAAGAATAGAATTAAAGAGTCAATATATTCTAGTGAAATACTCTTCTCCCTACTTTTAACTAATACGTTATTTTTTAGCATCATGATTAAATGGGCTAATGTTAACTAATCAAATCACCAACCACTTCCTCACTGTCTAGCCTTTGCTTTTGTAAGTTTTCATTTGGACCACAGAGCCTGGCTTACCAAGTGTTTTTATCACTCATGTTACATAATTTTCCCCTACTTGCCCCCCATATAACCAAAACACACATATATACAAATTAAAATATAGATAGTAAATGCAATATTTCTGAGGCTCTTGGAAAGGAAGCCACATACCTTGTTCTGCGCTGTTCATATAAAAATTCCTTTGCACTAGAGTTGGTGTCATAAAAACATTTGGTTTTTTTACTGTAAGAGAAAAAAAGATTTAAAGTCATTGAAAGTGAGTTACACTAGTGGGAGTCAGAACACACTGCCCTGTGCTCACCAGTAGGTGTCACTATTGGTACTAACCTAAGTGGGAGTGTCCCCTACAGAGCTGGTTCTGGTACAAACCGGATGGACAAACTTTCACTACTTAATACTCTTTCTCAACTCTCAGAAATCTAAATGAAATATCTGTCCCAAAGAGAAAAGATTGTCTTCTTTCTAATCATAAACAACTATGCTGTATGCAGCTGCAGATTAAAAATCTGAATTCATAATTGACCCTGAGTGCATTACTATAAAACATTTATAGAATATTATAAAACTATTAGCAAAGTCTGGCCTCCAATCATTCTTCAATAAATATATCAGAAGACAGAAGTAAAGATGATCCTTATACTGAATTATTTTTCTGTAAGGATGTTGGCAGGATAAGACTGGGACAGCTGCAAGCATACCATTTCTATACATTTCAAGGGGCAGGAAAATCCTCATTTTTTTTTTTTCAGCACAAGGGATCAAACTCGGGACCTTACACTTGCCAGGCAAGTGCTTATGCAGCTGAACTATCTCCCCAGCCCAGAAAAATCTTCTTTATGGCAAATGGCAGAAACAGCAACTAGTTAATGGAGATGATGAAATAATTGTTTTTTTTTCAAAGTATTGTATTACAAATGTGGAGGTAGAATTGCTTCTCAAATTAGAATCTAACATAATGATTTTGTGATCTTTATTATTGAAAACCAACAGTAAATCATCCATATAAAAGTATTATTATTTTTCTCATTTTCAACATCAACATTCTGCACAATAGAAAATGTAATGGTGCTTATTGATATAATTGTTGCTTTATTCTTTCTTTGAGTGTGTCTGCTTTTTTAAAATGAATTTAAATGAATTGAAGTAGCTCTGTAGGTAACTTAAAGCTATCACTTTGCTTTGTATGCAAATACAATTAAAAAAACCATTTTGCTTCTATAATTAAGCTATTTCTCCTAATGTGTGTAGTTTGTCAGTGGGTTCAGAGGGGTCTACTGAGCTAGGAACATCTCCTCAGTATCTGAAAGGTACCTGACATGATGTTGTGCACTTACACTTGTACTTATTAATAAAAATATGGTCCATTCATTTGCAAACTCTAGTTCCCAGGTACAGGGGAAAGGGTTTAAAAGAAATGAGTAATTTTATATTTTAGTGGAAAACTTAGGAAAGGTAATTGATAGTTGGGTAGAAATAAAAGCAAGGATAAAAATCATTATTTTAATGAGAAGAAAGCCAATCATTTCACAGATTTTGTTAAGCTAGTTTTACTTAAAAACAAGCTTCAAGTAAAGAAAAATAGTGTTTTAATTAGTGAAAATCTCTAATGGAATCACATCCTAAACATTAAGATATAAATCTAAAGTATAGTTATATACTTGAGTGTTACGTAAGCTATGTAAATAGATAATAATACATAAAATAAAGTAGGTTGCTTTTATTTTATGAGGTTACTTTTCATAAAATAATTGCTATCATAAATATAAAGTCTTACAAAAGTTAGGTTCAAACTTCCTACTCACAAAACAAAGCAAATCCTGTATGAATTTATAAGTAGTAATCCTCAAGTATACATCCTGCTACTTTGCCAAGGCCTCTGTTTGATTTGTTGTTAATGTTAACATTTTATGATACCTGAAAAGATAAACTTATCATTAATAAGAATGACTTTGAAAAGCAGAGTGTCAGGCTTGAGGTTCTAGAAACTCTTCATTACCTGGCCCAGAAGGGGGAAAGGTTGGGAGGCCAGTGAAGGATGTGGATCTCAGGCACTTCTGAGACAAGGCTGACACTAAAACCAGATCACAGACTCAAATTAATAAGAGGTGGGTTGTTTCTTTTGATTTGGATTTTTGGTGTTTGAGAAAAATTCTAGATCACCAATTTAGAAAAATCTTTGATTTTTTAATCAATAAAAATAAATGAATAGTGCCTTTGGTGAGGATTTGTGTGTGTGTGTGTGTGTGTGTGGCTGGCTCAGCCAGCCCTGGGATAGGGCTGGCATGGCTTGTGGTGCCAGGGATTGAACCAGGGTCCCTGCAGTTGCCTAAGCTTGCCTAAGCAGGCATTTTGGTCCACTGAGCTATCTCACCAGACCCTATCTGGCATGAAGATGATCGCAAGGAATTGACACTATAGGAGACATACAGACATACTATGAGGTTGAAATATGACCAATTCCTAAGTTCTGAGGTTCTAGAACTGCTTTGATATAGATGACAGACTAAGTTACTGACTCAGAACACAGTGTATGAGACATGCTTTTTAAAGAATAAGTATTCATTTATTCAAATAGATGGTCACTTTTAAGAATTATATTTTCCCCAATTAAAAAGTTAATACAAACTCAATACAAAAATTCTGCATTGATGAGGAAAACATCAATGCTTGGAATTCTATTACAGCACCTAAAATAATGATCGCTAACACTGTGGCTTATGTGCTTCCAGTATTCTTTTTTTCCATAATAAATTGAATTCTTAAATACACACTATACAATCCACATTACAGTTCATTTTCATACTAAAATGCAAATGTTGTCCAATGGGTAGACTTCTAACATTACCCTTTCAGAAAGTTCCTTAGTAATTTCCCTTTCAGAATAAACTCAACAATGGACAGCCGACACTCAAGGCTATACCTACCTCCACGGAACGCAGAATCTGTGTTATGAAGAGAAAAAGATGAAGATCGCACACGCTTCCTTGAGAATCCATTACATTCTGCAAGAAATTCAAGAGGACGGGTAAGATCACTTGCAAGGCCTCCGCCTATGATCTGGTAGGGTAGACAGAAATCCTTTTGTGTACCTAGGTCATCATTTGTAACATGTTAACTTTTGAAACCCTGTTTTAAATATCGGGGTTGATAGGGTGGCAATTACAAACTTATAGTGATATTAATATAAAACAATTAGCGCAGTGGAGAACTGTGAACTTTTAGTCATTCACATCAGCGTTTGGGGGAACTTGCATGCCGTCTTTCATAACAAAAGACAAACTATATGCATGAATAAAAACAAGCAACACCATTAAGTTCCACAGTGGCTGTGCCACATGGCAAAATGCTAGTGCCTTTTTCTTTTCCACTGAACAAAGGCTGATTTTGCAGTACAAAATGTGAATCATTACCATGTTCTGCTGCTTCGTGCAGGGCGTCTTCTGCAGGTCTCTGAAAGGACACAAAGCTGCCAATGAGAGTTGAACATTTGCTGTTTTTGCATCAGACTTCACCTGTCACTTTATAACATAGTTATCAAAAAACAGCCTTGTCTGGCAAAACAACTCATCTCTGTTCACTAGGCACTGAGTCAAGAAAAAATTCAAATCGAGGAGAGCAGTTTTGTATTTCTGTGACTACAGGACCACCTGTGGGAGGGTGCATAAAGTATAGATTTTGGAAGCGTACACCCCTAAGATTCTGAAGTGGTTGATCAGGAGCAAGAATCCACTTTTTAAACAAGGCTTGGAGGTTGAGTTTTTCCTTTATTTTAGTATGTTTTATGTGTACTGAAGTAAATGATCTACATAAACAAGAATGGATACCAAGAAAACAGTAACAAGCTAATATGACAATGCTATTAATGTTTTGTGTCCTAGATGATTTCAGTGTGACACTCAAAAAGTAAATAAGGTTATTAAAATCCCTGTTACATGAATATCACAATTTAGAGTTCATTTTAAAGCTAGCTGTAGGCTAGCTCAGTGGTAGGGATCTATGAGGACCCTTGGTCTTCCTGCTCTCTTTCAACCCCCAGCCATTTCAAGTCCCTCCAAATAAACATATGCTTTTAATAAAACAAACTGTCACCCAGTGCTTCAGAACCAGTTTTCTGGCTTCTCTTTTTGGCCAAACTGACTTCCATAAATGCTTGCTCAGTTAATGGTTTGGAGGCTCTACTTTGACTGAGGCGAATGACAGGTTAAACCTAGGCAGCAGCGATACCTCAGTAGAACCGGCTGCTTGAAAAAATATTTTCTTTGTCAAAGTCACAGTAAAGAAGGTAAAAACAAATAAAAGAGCTTTAGCTTACCTTAAATGTTTGTTCTCCCTTGTCAAAAATAAATGTTGGTTGAGCAATGACAGATTTTTCTATGAAAGATAAAGAATATTTAAGACAATCAAAGCATACCCTGAAATCTACAAATATTTGAACAGTTTTTTTGTTTTATATTTTTTTGCCTTTGGTCAAAATATTATGTGGGAGTTAAAACTCAGGCTTAGCATGTATTCAAGTGTAAGTTTTATCATTAATTGTCTATATAATTTGGAAAGCTTAATATCTCTATCTTGATTTCATCTGAACACAAAACATATAACAGAACTTACCTCATAGAGTTTATGTGAAGATTAAATGAGACTTTTAGATTAAAATTACTTAAATTTAATAAGACAAAGAAAAGCCTTAAAGAAGCAACAATAAATGTTTGACACACCACCAATTCCTCATTCCATATCCAGTAATGAGTATTTTTAGTTTGTCTTTGTTTTGCAATGCTGGTGACTGAATATATATATATATATATATATATATCACAAATTGAACTCAGGTCCTTGTGCTTGCTGGGCACGCACTGTGCCACTGAGTTACAACCCTGGCTCTTATACATAATAGACAAATACTCTTCCACTGAGCTACATCCCCAACCCCTAATTCCAATCCTAAAACTCAGAGCTGATATCACTAAATGATTGCAACATACATATTCTTGATGAGTCCAAATAAGACTTCATTATTCTTGTCATAGCAACCATTGCCAACATATTGTCTTGGAATGCACTGAGGTCATTTGCCAGCCATGAGAAAAATAAATAAAGCTGTATCTGAGAAGCTTCTAAAAGTCACCACATGATTACATTCTTCACATGCAGAGAGAAGTTCCCCATTACCCTACAATTTTATTCCATAAGATAGGGCCAGAAACTGTCAGACTACCCTTTGTGATCCTCCAGGAATCTTATGAGCTTAAGTATCTTCTTCTAGTTCAGTGAAATAAATAAGCAGCTCAGTTTTTCCTGAGTGCTTCCTGTGCTATCTGCTCTTGGAGCCCATAGTCTCATTAAAAAATTCCCAATCACATGTTGGCATTCCAAACCATATGAATAACTACTTGTTCTTTTTCAGAGCTCTTTCTCTAGTACTTACATTACATTTAAGGAATGATATTCATAGTATTCTCAAAAGCCAGGAAATATACATATATAGAAAATAGATTTTTTGAATATGTAGTGGAATACTTCTGAATTAGAATTGTTAATGAAGCTTTAATAAAATGGTTTTAAGATAGTCCTACTTAAAATAGCATGTTTTGGCCTAAACCTAGACAAATAATATATTTATTTTTGCTCTGTTAAAATATAGAACTGAAAATTACCTCACAGACCTAGGAAAATCATTCCTAAAACTTATTTGGAACCAGAAAAGACATAGAATAGCAAAGGCAATCCTGGGCAACAAAGACAAGGCAGGAGGCATTAAAATTCCTGAGTTGAAATTATACTACAAAGCTACTGTGATAAAATCAGCCTGGTACTGGCATCAAAATAGATCTGAGGATTAGTGGAATAGATTAAAAGATGCAGAAGCCGCTAAGAACACACTCAACCACCTTATATTCAATAAGGGGCCAAACATGCTCACTGGAAGAAAGATAGCCTCTTTAACAAATTATGCTGGAAAAACTGGCTCTCTACATGCCAAAAACTAAAACTTGACCCAGGTCTATCACTATGCACTAAGCTAAAGTCAAAATGGATTAAAGATCTAAACATTAAAACAGAAACACTTAATCTCCTGGAGGAGAATGTAGGAAGAACTCTGGAAGACACAAGGGTAGGCAAAGAGTTCATGAATAAAAATCAAATCATATGGGTAATACTTGAAAGAATGAACAACTGGGGCCTCCTCTTATTGAGAAGTTCTTGCATGTCAAAAGAAATTACCAACAAAGTGAAAAGACACCCACAAATTTGGAAAAAATATTAACTAATAAGCACTCAGATGAAGGTCTGCTCTCTAGAATTTATAAAGAACTAAAAAATATTAAGGCCCCAAAATTTAATGATGCAGTCCAGAAATGGGCATCCAAGATGAACACACACTTCTCAGAGGACAAAAATAAAGAAGCAAATAAATGTATGAAAAAGTGCTCCACATCACGAGCCATCCATGAAATGCAAATTAAAACAACACTGAGATACCATCAGAAAGAATGGCTATCATAAAGAAACCAACCAACAACAAATGTTACAAAGGGTGTGATGGAAAAGGAACCCTTCTCCACTGCTGGTGGGAATGTAGACTGGTGCAACCATTATGGAAATCAGTGTGGAGACTCCTTAAAAAACTAGAACTGGAAATCTCATTCAATCCAGCTATCCCCCTACTGATAATTTTCCCAGAAGAACTGAAAACATCATATCATAGTGATATATGTGTACTTATGTTTATAGCAGCACAATTTGTGATAGACAAATCTTGGAAACAAGCAAGATGTCTGTCACCTGAGGAATGGATGAAAAAGATGTTGTATTTTTATACAATGTAGTATTATTCAGCTATAAAGAATGATAAACTCAAAGCCTTTATATTTTAGTGGATGCCACTTGAAGATATACTCATAAGTGAAATAAATCAGACCAACATGTGTAAATATTGCATAGTCTCCCTAGTATAAGAACTCAAAAGAAGAAATAAAAATAGAAAGGTATAACACAATTAGAAGGAAAGCAAGAACTTACGGATTAGACAAGGAAGAGAGAATTAAGGCTAGGAAACATGACAGGGACAAAGCCATTTATTCATATGTACAAGATGAGTAAGGCAGAGATCCTGAGAATATTCAGCAGGTTTTTGAAACTAGCAGTTAATTGTGGGATTTTCACCCTGACTAACTATATGCTGATATCTGTGAACTAAGCAACTGCACTAAATAGCAATGTGTAATACTAGGGTCATGCTTGGAATGCCTGTCATTCTGGTCTTATAAATACACACTGCTTGTCATGTCATACCAATTACTGTCGTACTGTCTCTCAAGTAAATGTTTGTTTTTAAAAAAGAGTAATAAATGAAAACAATAGACAAGAAAAAAATGTCACAGGACTGTCCTGCTACAATGCTGTATATGGTTAGATTTCTAAATTTTTATGTAAAAACATGTAATTGTTTATTCCAATTTTTAAAATATTTTTTAAATTTTTTCTTCATGTTCTGTAGGGACTTAAAGTTTAACACATTAATACTTGATGGAAAATACCTGTTCCACATTATGTCTAAGATGTTTGATATTCACTTTGTTGTTGTTGCTGTTGGTTTTTTGTTTGTTTGTTTGTTTTTTGTGGAACCAGTGATTGAACTCAGGCTCTTGTACTTGCCAGGCAAGCACTTATTCTACTGAGCTATTTTCCCAGCCCCAAGGTTAAGCTCAACTGTCTATGTTGTATGGTAATAATAATAAGGTTCTCTTCTGGAGGGTTAACAACCTAAGTTTGCAGACCAAAAATCAGAGAAAAAGAAGGGCTGCAAGGACACCCAACATTTTGGCCCCTAGCCTTTCAAGGTCAGTGAGGACTCAGAACATAAGAGAACCTGTACTGTAACATCCTGTGACTCAGTAGTGTCCCAAATTTTCTGATCCAGGAGATTATGGAGCCACAGAAGAAAGTGATCGATGATGTAGAGTGTGCCTAAGGAGAGTCACCTAGAGAAAAAACATTCTTTCAGGCTTTCACAGAGAACAAATTGGTCAAGCAATGGCCATGACTCATCCACACAGATGACACTGGCAAAGGATCTACAAACTGTGGTACAGGGTTTCAGGGTAAGTCCTGGGGGTATTTAACTGACATTGTCAGATACAAAACTTACATTTCTTGTTATATAGGTCTTGCTTATCTTGTTCTTAACCATCCAGCAGAAAAGTACAAAAACAACATATAAAAGCAAAGCCATATTAATATGCTGAGCTGTAAAAGGCTCAAGTCAACAACTTCCGACATTGCCAGTGCTATGGATAACCCACTACTATTATGGACTACTGGACTATATTGGATTATTGTTATGAATTCACACACGTATAATATTTAAATGGCAATGAAATACCCATCTCTGTCAAAACTAATTTAAAAAGGGGGTATAAATGAAGGACAATTTTGTAAAAAATGTGTATATCTACAAAATAGTTAAGATAGATATACAGCTACTTTCTCTTAATTCAATGAGAAGGAAGTTTTGTAGTAAAAATGTTTGGACAGGATATTATGTTTGCATCCTGTAGTATGAATAACTACTATGAAGACAACAATATGCAATGTATTAATTATTGTAACCGTCCTACTAACCTGTTTTGAAACTGTATCATTGCTATTTCTTTCTCAATAAAATTAGTAAAAAAAAAAAAAACCATGGAACGAAAATATACAAAAAATGAACTTGGAAACATTAAAGGGAACAAGTAAGGAATGCTGCTTTTAGCCTGAATGGTATATATGATAATCTAAGAAACCCACTTTTCTTGTAATTTAGCAAATATTTAGTGTGTGTGTGTGTGCGTGTGCGTTTGCGTGCTGTGGTGGGGGTTGGAATATATGGTCTGGCTGAAGATTTATTACTGACAGTGCAACCACCCTCTCTCCTTCACACTGCTCAACACATTGTCAGGTTAAAATTCAAGCAACCTATATCCCCCCAGATTCTGTCCCCTTCTTAGAATTTCTCTAAGGACAGAATTAAAGCGAGTATTTATGACACCAGTGAATTTGTAGCAGGCTTTTTAGCTGACCCAAGAGATTTTGAAAATTAAAAAAATTTTAAAACTATATTTTAGACTTTCTGTTTTGTAATGAATTTATTTATCAATTTTCTCAACAGATACCTATTGAAGTATGACTACTATGTACAAGACATTTTCAAGGTATGATAAAGAAAGCTATAAAGAAAAGTCTTCATCCTGCCGATACGAGGGGTAGAAACAAAACAAAACTGTCAATTATAGAATTATTTAAATTCAACTGGGATAAAGGTTACAAAAGAGAAGTACCAGATTCCAGGCAAATGAAAATCAAGTATACATATCTGCTTTTAGGGGTTG